AACCTTATTAAGTAATTTACTGCACCACAGCCTCTTACAAAGAACTTGCCTTCTCCTCCCAGCTACAGGGCTAAAGCACAGCTACTCAAGAACTGTACTCATACTGTTACATGTTACCTGTGGGTTTGCCACGTAAGGTATGAGGACAGGGCTTACACCAGTGCTGTTCAGTAGAAATACGATGGGAGCTTCATCTATGATTCTAAATGTTCTAGTTGCCACATTTGAAAAAGGAAAAAGAAACAAATGAAATTTTAATGTATTTGATTTCATTCAATACAGCCAAAGCAGTATTTCAACACATAAGCAATTATTATTTTGTTTATTTATTTTTTTTATTGTGATTTGGGTGAAATTTTACAGAGCAAATTCACTTTCCATACAGCAGTTTACATACACTTTGTCTCGTGACATTGACCACAATTTACCACAATGCAACAGCTCCCCTCCCACTTCTTCCCGATAGTTACCTGTTCCCTGTGTCCTTCCCTCCATGCACTCCTGCCCCCTGAGCTGTCTCCCTGTGCTTACACAGCCCTTCTTTCTCCCATGATTGTTCTCTGCAAGGAGTGTATCTACCTCAGGTAAATATTCAACTTATATGCCTGTCTTTTGTAAAACAATTATTTTAAAAATAATGTTTTTTGTTACTGTTGTTGAGCCAAACATACACCAATTCAACAGTTTATACATGCAGAACTCAGTGACATGGATTACAGTCTTGGAATTGTGTTATCATTCTTGCCCTCCTTCTCTGAATTGTTCCTCCTCCATTAACATAAACTCACTGCCCCCAAAGCTCCTGTCAGACCTTTCAAGTTGTTGTTTGTCAATTTGATCCCATATAGATAGGTCTTTAAAAGAGCACAGGCTTAATTAAGGTCGACTTTCTTTATTAATTAAGATAAGCTCTTGTTTGGTCCTAAGGAAGAAGCAAAAAAGGGCAAGGAGGCCACATATTCTGACCTCCTCTAATCCCACAAGAGGAAGGCAGAATCACCATCGATAGCCCAAGACCTATTCCTGGGAGGCCAGACATGTTGCCTCCCTCCAGCCCTTTCACCAACCGTTCCTCCCAAAGCACCCACCACCTCTCTCCTGGGTTCGATAATTTGCTGCAGTGGCCACGCAGAACTCACAGATTATGGGGTTTATTAGGGAAGCACCAGGCTACAATTCAAGTTAAGGAAAAAACGCTCAGTCTCTCTCCCAGCCCACCGTCTCTCAGTCAAGTCTCTCACAGTCTTTCCTCCAGCAGTGCATGTCCCTCGGTGTCTCAGCAATGCATGTCTCTTGCGTCTCTTTCCCAGCAGCACGTGTCTCTTTCGGCAGCATGTCTTCCTCAACCAGCAGTCAGAGAGAGTTCTGCCTCTAGAGTTCTTCCATGATTGTTCTCTGCAAGGAATGTATCTACCTCATCCTTTTGAGCCTGGCAGAGTGGCCAAACCAACCAATCATAACATCAGAACTCTAAGCACCTGAGAGAGAGTGGGAACCTCCCAGAACATTGTTTTGTGCCACTCCCAACAGAAATACTCCAGGTGGACAACTTCAGCAATCAGGAGCTCCTCAGTTGCTCATAGCAAATCCCATTTTGGAGTTTACAAAGACTTATGGGTAAAGCCACACTGAGTAATTTACTACACTGCAGAAGACTTCAAGGGATATATTTTATTTAAGGTTTAAAGATTATTTTTGTCGTGTGCTCTCAATACCAACTCATAGTGACCCTATAGGACAGGGTAGAACTGCCCCATAGGGTTTTCTAGGCTGTAATCTTCATGGAAATAGATCACCAGGTCTTCCTCTGAGGACACACTGGTCCTTTCGGTTAGCAGTCAAATACTTAACCATTACACGGACTTAACCATTACATACTTAACCATTACACCACTGGGATTCCTGGTTTAAAGGTATAATACACACACGCACACGCGCACACACACACACACACACACACACATATATATGAGCTCTGGTGGCCTACTGCCTAAGGCATTTGACTGCTAACCAGAAGGCTGGTGGTTCAAACCCACCAGCCACTCCTTGGAAGGAAGATGGGGCAATTGCTATGAGTTGGATCTGACTCGATGGCACATAAA